GACTCAGGATGTGAAACCTCCAACTTCCAAGGTTGTTCGAAGGAATATTGAACAAACTCTCCCAGCTCTCATGATCTATCGAGTTTGCGGTGCGTCGGGTATCTGAAGAATGGCACTTTACCTGGACGGTAGTGCTTTGCGATGATGATATTTACCTGCAATTTTGGAACTGCCTACATCTACGCTGGCTTGACGCTGGCGTCCGAGTCATGTCGCCAAGGAATCGATACTCGAAAAGAGGATCTGTTTCTCGATTTACCCAGTCAGCCCCCGGCTGGCTCTTCGGCAGTGGCGCTGGTCGTTCGGTTTTGGTCAAAGTAACACTTGTGTTTTGGAAAAGAAAACCCTCCCCAGTTATAACTTATCTGAAACCGGATTTGACTGACACTCACCATGATCGACATCGACGAACAGGCTCAGCCTTAAACAGCTACATACTGAACGGTGCTCGACGTCCGTCGCCAACGAATCTCCACGGCACGGCGCGTTGACGTCCATCTGGCAGCGAAGCACCCAGGTACCGCTTGCGCTGTCCAACATTCACCCGTCCAATGTCCATCGTATCTATCCGCCAGCCCCTGCCCCAGGGCCCTCGCATCATTCCACCTCTCCATCATCTCCATCTCCAGGTTCTCCTCTTCCACTTCTCCATGGCTATCTAGTATCTATCCAACAAACACCCCTTGCCGCTTGCCGCTTGCGCCGAATCCCACTCACACCTTGCCCCGTTCACACCCTGCGCCGAAAACAGCTATCATACACTCCTGTCATCGTCCATCCGTGGCCGCAGCTGCAGTCCGCCTGCCACCGAAGGAAGGTACAATCTCTATAATATTATATTTATTTACTGTTCGGTGCAGCCCATGTACCGAGGCGAGCCATCGTCTATGTATACGTCGCTATCCTCCCGCCGCTCCCATGCCATCCTCCCTCGACACAAATAAAATAACAGTGGTGTGTGATATGTTGTGCGTCCAAAGCTCGAATCAGAACAAGATGCGTGTGCGTGCGGTGCGGGTGACCAAGAATGAGTGATGAAACGAGAGTAGTCGGTGAGATAATTAATTATCGAGGTGTGGGGAGTAAAGAAAAGAAAAAAAAGCCCAAGCGCAGGAAGACCAAGAAAGAGTATGTATGTACGTATGGATAGCTGAGTAGTGCGCAAAGGAAGAATGTACGATAGGGGGCGGTAGCGAGGACAGCGAGGGAATGGCATGGGTGAATGAGCGTTAGGCCGTGATAGCGTCGCCGTTTTGCAAGTCAGTCGGGTACATTGTCTGTCGCTGTGCATTGCATTATTGGCGGCAGCATCGTCGGAAGGAGGGGCGCAGAATGAATGAATGAGGGCCGGGCGGGCGGGCTCAGCACTTCTCCCACATCTTCACCGAGTCGCTACATCGTACCACCATCAGCTTCTCTCTCTAAAGAAGAAAGGGAAGGCAGGAGACGCACACAACCATCGCGCGATGGAACTCGTCCTGCGGCCACGTATTGTACCACTGGTTCTTTGCGCGCAAAAAGTCGAGCGGGGCGGCTAGACAGACGCGCATTATAATCAGCACCTAACGGAGGGTGAATGATGAGCAGGGGTACGCACTTCCCGACCCATCGAGCCACGGCTTCTCCGGCCCATCGGGGAACCACCCGTTCGTCCCGCCCACCGCGACGTTCATGATCAGGTAGAAGCCTAGCGCGCAAGCGGCTCGTCAGTCTTGTGGCGGGGAAAAGCGAGGGAGAGAGACTCACGCTGGTCAAACGGCGCAGCCTTGGTCCCGTTCACCCACGGATTGTCGAGCACGACGCTCTGGCTCCCGTTCTGCACGACCGTGGGGAAGTCCCCGCGCTCCCAGAACGACTGCTTGATCTTCGTCTCGTACATGTACTGCAGCCGCGTGTCGACGTACATCCGGCTGTGGGCGCGGTCAGCGTGTGCGTCTGCAGCGAGGGGAAGAGAGAGCGCGGCAGGAGGGTGGAGACACCCAGAGGGAGGGGAAAGGGCTGGAAGAAACACGCACATAAAGTCCTCGCTCCACTCGAGCGCATACGTGTGGAACCCGTCGTCGTACCGGCCACGGCGGCGCACCCACCACCCGTACGTCTTCGCCACCGCGTTCAGGAACGTCGCCGGCCCCCAGTTGAGCGACGAGCGCACGTAGTTGATGCCCCTGTGCCGTGTCGCGTCGTCAGCATTATTCCGTTTGCGTAAAGCGTAAAGCGTAAATGGGAGGGGGAAGGGGAGAGGGGTACGCACTGTTTATTATAGCTCGGGCCGTTCCCGCGCGCCTCCATGATGTCGATCTCGCCGCTGAGCGGCCACCCGCCGTACACGCTGTCGACGGGCAACATCCAGATCGCGGGCCACAGCCAGTCGCCCGTGGGGAGCTTCGCGCGCACCTCGATGCGGCCGAACCTGGCGGGGGAGAGTGCGTCAGCATTCGGTTTTGTATGCTAGGAAGGCAACACTCACTTTATACTCGCGCTCCGCCGCGTGCTGATCCGCGCGCTCATGATGGGCGGGAGGATCTTGCCCTCGGTCGCGTTCGAGATGGCGGAGCAGGCGGCGAGGTACGCGGGGAGGTCGAGCGGGGCGTCGGGCGCGATGCCCCCGCCGCCGCTCGTGCCCTCCGTGGTGTTGATCCCCGCCGCGCCGTGCCCGCTCGTCGTGTACCCCGACGAGTGCGTGAGGTTGTACGTGCAGCCCGTGAGGTTGTAGACCGCGCCGTCTAGAGTTGGGAAACGGTTAGAGGGAGGAAGAGGGAGGAGAGGAGGGAGAGAGAGACGCACCGAGGATGCTCCCCTCGGGGATGACGTCGCTCGTGAGCGTGGGGAGGAGGTACAGCTGCCCGTCGCGCACGAAGCTGTTCGCGTCCGACGCGGTCGTCATTTCGAACTCGCCGTTCCTGCGTGTGTGTGTGAGCACAGAGCTCGAAAGAAAACCCCCCGACTTACCCAAACCCACTCGCGTCGACCTCGCGCAGCCAGGTCCCCCCCTCGCCCGCGACGCCCGTGCCGAACAGCCCTGCGGTGTCGACGGAGGTAAAGTCCTCGTCCATCACGGGGCAGAGCTTGTCCGTCAGGAGGAGGACGGAGGTGTAGCCGAAGTAGGTGCGCACGGCGCCGGCGGCGATGCCTGGGGCGTGAGGGTGAGCGATGCGGTGAGGAAGAGAGACCGACGCAGCGCACCGAAGAGAATCATGCCATACGTGATCCAGTACGCGGCGCGCGCGCGGGGGTCGCGCACGCCGATCCACGGCTTGATAAGGGACGTTTTCAGCGCGGGGCGCGCGCCGGGCTTGGGCTTGGGGGTGTCGTCTGCGAGATCACATCAGTTTCACTTTTTTTTGCGAGAAAAGAAGAGCACCCACCATCCGCCACCGTCGAGCTCGGGACCAACAGCGCCGTGCTCTTCGGCCGCTCCCTTCGCAGGCGCGCAGTGCTCGGCGCGGCGTAGATCGTCAGCGGGCGTGCGGGCGGGGACGCGAACGCCTCGCGCTTGCCGCCGGGCGTAGAGGGCTTGCCGTCGCCTGCGGTCGTGGGGCGGCTGTTCGGGCGCAGCGAGGAGGTGCCGGTGCCGGGGCGGCTGCCCGGGGTGCGGGGGAGCTCGACGAGCGACGAGGCGCGCGTGCTGCCGGGGGTGGCGAAGTACGAGCCCGAGGCCGAGTGCGCGTGGGTGTGGCCGTTGGGCGAGTGCATGCCCGGGACGGGCGTGTCGAACGACGCGCTGAAGCTGCGCACGGAGGCGGGGGGCGAGAACGGGTTCGCTTGGGTGGGCGTGCCGCCGCCGAAGGGGTTTGCGGCGGCGGTGTCGAGGGCGGCGGCGGAGGGGGAGCGGGAGAGGGAGTCGCGCGGGGCGTGCGGGGTGAGGAAGGAGAGGCTGCGGGGGCTGACGGGCGGGGACGCGGCGGGGGAGGACGACTCGGAGGCGGCGGGGGAGGCGTCGCTGCTCCCGGAGGCGGGGTGCGCCGCGAAGGGCGGGTTGGGCGGGAGCGGGGTGAAGTCGAGGGGGGCGGGGCGGGCCATTGGGACAGTCTGAGGGTCGAAGGGGCGCTCAAACTAGCCAGACCAGAATGCAAGGCGGTAATATAGAAAAGGGCTCGCGATTTGTACGCCACCGGCCATCGCCTCAGTCAACCGATGCTTCTGCCTTCTTGGTGTCATCTCGGCCGCATGCGTTCCATCGCGTCCCTATCAAGGGGCACCCAATCTGCCTGCCACCCTGTCGCGTCTGCCTGTCTAATCTTCGGCATGTACTCCCTTGTGTGGTGCAGTGTCGTACTCCCTTGTCCCTTTTCTTGTTCTCGTGCATCCCGGTCCCCGAAAACAAGGGTCTCCAACGAGGGTCGGCGTTTGTGATTCCCAAGTAGTCTCAATCGGCGTTTGCGAGTGGAGAGATTCTCTCAATCTCGCCATCAGGAAAAGGAAGGAATTCCAAAACTACAAAACACCCGATTGGGCGGAATCCCAATCAGAATCCCAAGGCTATGTTGGATTTAAACGGCGTTTAGGTACGCGCGCGCGAATGCTCCCACACTTACTGTTAATTGAATGAAGAGGCGGTGTCCGGACGGAGATCTGCAGATCGGGCATGACGGAATGCATGCATTCAGTCGCGCTATCTCTGATAGTGGGCCTGGCGCTTGTTCTGTCTTTGACGGCGAAATCCCGCGTCCGAGTCCAACCGAAAGGGAACAATACCAGGCCCAGGGCAAAATCAAGTCGTCGATAACATTAATATTCATAAAAAAACATTCCATCCATCTCGGTGGTTTCTTGTAGACCGGCACTACGAATGGGAAAAAGTGACCGCACCAAAGAGCTCCACAACCTGGCCCGGATTCGAACCGGGGACTCCTACATACAGATGTTACACATACTATAAAGTGGGTAGGTGTGATCCATTCACTACCAGGTCTTATACCACATATTCAATCCTTGGATATATCCCACCGTTTCAAAATCCCAGTGAGAGAAAGAAAAAAAAGAAAACCATAAACGGCCCATGACCTGGCCCGGATTCGAACCGGGGACACCCACCGTATTCCTCCTCCAAACGTAAACATGCAAGTAAAGTGGGTATGAGCCATTCACCACCAGGTCTTATTCCTGCCTTCTACAAGCTGTATTTATACCCCACTTTTTGGGTGTCTACATAACAAAATGATTTAAATTGGGCGCTGCAGAAAAATTGCGCTGAAATGGCTACGACCTGGCCCGGATTCGAACCGGGAGCGCTCCTATGCACCAATGGCAGCAGTTATAAAGTAGGTAGGTGTGATCCATTCACCACCAGGTCTTGCTCCCTCCTTCTACAAGCTGTATTTATACCCCACTTTTTGGTGTCTACATGACAAAATGAATTAAATTGGGCGCTGCGATAAAAGCTGTACAACATGTGGGAATGACCTGGCCCGGATTCGAACCGGGAGCTCCTATGCACATACATGATGAAATGATAAAGTGGGTAGGTGTGAGCCATTCACCACCAGGTCTTATTCCCTCCTTCTACCAGCTGTATTTATGCTACACTTTTTGGTGTCTAATAACAAAATCAATTAAATTGGGCGCTGCAACAAAATTGCGCTGAAATGGCTACGACCTGGCCCGGATTCGAACCGGGAGCTCCTATGCACATACATGATGAAATGATAAAGCGGGTAGGTGTGAGCCATTCACCACCAGGTCTTATTCCCTCCTTCTACGAGCTGTATTCATACTATATTTTTTTCGGGCTTTTGTAAGATGAATAAATAGGGTGTTGAAAAAGATTTTGGAGACGGGCCATGACATGGTCCGGATTCAAACCGGGAACTCCTGCAGATGTCTGTTACACCATTCCCCCAAACGAGGGGTGGGTGTGAACCATTCACCACCAGGTCTTATACCATATATTCAACCCTTGGATATATCCCACTGTTTCAAAATCCTCGTGAGAGAAAGAAAAAAAATTGACAAAAAAAGACAAACACAAAGGATTATGACCTGGCCCGGATTCGAACCAGGTGCTCCTATGCACCAATGGCAGCAGTTATAAAGTGGGTAGGTGTGATCCATTCACCACCAGGTCTTATACCACATATTCAACCCTTGAATATATTTCACCGTTGCAAAATCCTGGTGAGAGAAAGGAAAAAAATTGACAAAAAAAAAAAGCACAGCGCATTTGTATTATGACCTGGCCTGGATTCGAACCGGGGACACCCACCGTATCCTTACATGCAAGTGCAAGTAAAGTGGGTATGAGCCATTCACCACCAGGTCTTATTCCCTCCTTACACAAGCTGTATTTATACCCCACTTTTGGTGTCTACATACCAAAATGAATTAAATTGGGAGCTGCAACAAAACCATATGCGAAATCGATACGACCTGGCCCGGATTCGAACCGGGAATCCCACATGCAAAGGCCATGCTAAATAGAGTGAGCAGGCATGATCCTTTCACCACCAGGTCTTCCTCCTTCTATCTACAAGCCATACTTATGCTACACTTTTCAGTGTCTACAAAATGCATTAAATAGAGTGCCAAAAAAGACCATTCAGTCAGAATGAATGACCTAGCCCAGATTTGAACTGGGGACTCCTACATACAGGTGTGAGTGAGCTCGAACAGTGAGCAGGCATGATCCTTTCACCACCACATCTTCCTCCTTCTGTCTACAAGCCGTACTTGTGCTTCAATTTTTGGTGGCTACAAAACACTTGTTCTTTCTTTGGAGGGGTGAACCATCTGAGCTCACAGCAAGACCACGGCAAGATAAAAGTCACTTCAAACATTCCATCTCAAATTCTCAGTGATTCAACCCACCAAGCAGTGACCTCAGAATAGGACTCAACAAGGGGGAAAAAAATGAGATTGGATTACCTTCACGACCTGGCCCAGAGTTGAACCGGGAATTCCCACAGACATCTACAAGTGCGCATGAACAGGAGGTGGGTTGTGATCCATTCACTACTAGGTCTTATACCACATATACAATCCTTGAATATAGAGTATCCCACCATTCCAAAATCTCGGTGAGAGAAAGAAAAAAAATTGACAAAAAAAAACCAACACTACAAATTATTATGACTTGGCCTGGATTCGAACCGGGAGCTCCTATGTGAAACTTGCTATAAACTGGGATAAAGTGGGTAGGTGTGATCCATTCACCACCAGGTCTGATTCCTTCCTCCTACCAGCTGTATTTATGCTACACTTTTTGGTGTCTACATAACAAAATGAATCAAATTGGGCGCTGCAACAAAATTGTAGCTGCGGTGCTCACGACCTGGCCTGGATTCGACCCAGGGACACCCACCATATTCTGTCTCGCTCGCGAAATGTAAGTAAAGTGGGTATGAGCCATTCACCACCAGGTCTTATTCTCTCCTTCTACAAGCTGTATTCATACCCCACTTTTTGGTGTGTACATAAAAAAATGAATTAAATTGGGTGCTGTGACAAAACTGTACTCGAAATCGGTACAACCTGGCCCGGATTCGAACCGGGAGCTCCTATGTACAGATGGCAATGCAAGATGTAAAAGTGGGTAGGTGTGATCCATTCACCACCAGGTCTTATTCCCTACTTCTACAAGCTGTATTTATGCTACACTTTTTGGTGTCTACATAACAAAATGAATTAAATTGGGCACTGCAACAAAACTGTACAAGATGTGGGAATGACCTGGCCCGGATTCGAACTGGGAGCTCCTATGCACCAATGGCAGCTAAGCTATAAAGTGGGTAGGTGTGATCCATTCACCACCAGGTCTTACTCCCACCTTCCATGAGCTGTATTCATGCTATATTTTTTTCGGGCTTTTGTAAAATGAATAAATAGGGTGCTGAAAAAGATTTCATAGCACCGCTGGGCTATGACCTGGCCCAGATTCGAACCGAGGACACCCACTGAATCACTGCAGGCGTCAATCAAGTGAAGTGGGTATGAGCCATTCACCACCAGGTCTTGCTCCCAGCTTCTACAAGCTGTATTTATACCCCACTTTTTGGTGTCTACAAAATGTATTAAATAGGGTGCCAAAAAAGACCTTTCAGTCACCAGAATGAGTGACCTAGCCCGGATTCGAACCAGGAGCTCCTATGCACAACTGCAACATCTGCCGTAAAGTAGGTAGGTGTGATCCATTCACCACCAGGTCTTACTCCCGCCTTCTACAAGCTGTATTTATACCCCACTTTTTGGTGTCTACAAAATGTATTAAATAGGGTGTCAAAAAAGACCTTTCGGTCAACAGAATAAATGACCTGGCCCAGATTCGAACTGGGGACTCCTGCAGACAGATACAGACCTGAATCGATAGAGTGAGCAGACATGATCCATCCACCAGGTGTTCCTCCTTCTGTCTACAAGCCTTGCTTATCCTACAATTTTTGGCAGCTACAAAACACTTGTTCTTTCTTTGGAGGGGCCAACCCCAACACTGAGCTCAGAGCAAGACCGGGGCAAGATAAAAGTCACTTCAAACATTCCATCTTAAATTCTCGGTGATTCAACCCACCGAGCCCAGCCCTCTTGATTCACAGTGACTTTGGAATGGGACTCAACAAGGGGGAAAAAAAGATGATTAGATTACCTTCATGACCTGGCCCGGATTTGAACCGGGAGCTCCTATGCACATAGAAACCACCCGCAGTAAAGTGGATAGGTGTGATCCATTCACCATCAGGTCTTGCCCCCACCTTCTACAAGCTGTATTCATGCTATATTTTTTTGGCCTTTTGTAAAATGAATAAATAGGGTGCTGAAAAAGATTTTGCTACCAGACGACCCATGACCTGGCCTGGATTCAAACCGGGAGCTCCTATGCACATCTGCGTCACATGCTATAAAGTGGGTAGGTGTGATCCATTCACCACCAGGTCTTACTCCCTCCTTCCACAAGCTGTATTCATGCTATATTTTTTTCGGGCTTTTGCAAAACGAATAAATAGGGTGCTGAAAAAGATGTTGTATTAGAAGGGTCATGACCTGGCCCGGATTTGAACCGGGGACTCCCACCGTATTCCGACAACCAATGCAAGTAAAGTAGGTATGAGCCATTCACCACCAGGTCTTGTTCCCTCCATCTACAAGCTGTATTTATGCACACTTTTTGGGTTCTCTGACAACGAATTAAATGAATAGCTACAAATGAGTTCTTCATGCAATCAGGATGACCTGGCCCGAAATTGAACCGGGAACTCCTACACACAGAAACAAACAGCTTGCTTAAAGTGAGTAGGTGTGATCCACTCACCACCAGACCAGGTCTTACAACTCCCTCCTTCTACAAGCTGTATTTTTACCCCACTTTTTTGGACTTGTACAAAATGAATAAATTGGGCACTGAAAAAGTTGCATTTGAACTTCCATATGACCTGGCCCAGAGTCGAACCGGGAAAACCCACATTATCCTGTGGGGTCGAAAATGAGGTGAGGTGGGTTTGATTCATTCACCACTAGGTCTCCTCCCTGCTTCTATAAGCTGTATTTATGCTATATTTCTTGTGTCCACAGAAAATATTAATCCGGCACTGAAAAAGATTTAGCTCACACAAAGGCTATAACCTGGCCTGGATTCGAACCGGGAGCTCCTACGTGAATCAAACTACGCAAATAAAGTGATTAGGTGGGATCCATTCACCACCAGGTCTTACTCCTCGTTGTACAAGCTGTATTTACACAACATGTTTTGGTTTCTCTGAAAAATGAATTATTTCGGTGCCCAAAAAGATACTGTATCAACTGCACAACATGACCCGGAGTCGAATCATGACCAAGATTCGAACCGGAACTTTGCCAAGACTTCCCATCCACAAATAAGCAATTACAGGTGTGGACGACTCACTACCAGGTCCTATTACCGGCACCCACTCTTTTGAAAGATAAAATGAACTATGCCTCAAAAGACTCTGCACATTCCACCTCTCTGTGTTTGACAATCAAGCATATCGCCAGCTTTGGCACTAGCTGAACTAACTGGATAAAAATAATCAAGACTGCAAAAATAACGATGCATTGAACCAGGACCTCCCTCAGGGCCCCTACAACACATCTTCTGTCATATCTCAACAGAGTGGACTTTAATCTTATTCTTGTTTCCATATTGTATTAAAATATTGACAGACCGAACCTGCACGTGCGGAAGAAAGGAGCTGGATGTCCAAGTCGGAGAAACCTGCTCGATTGAACCGTGGGAAAGAGCACTTGCGCCGAATGATGGGGCTCGGTAAAGGCGAGCAGGGTTGTTCCCTCCCAAATTCCACGCCTTCGTCTGTGACTTTATAGCTTGGGGTACTAGTGATTCACAAAAGTCAATCGAATACACGCCAGCCTCGGAATTCTCACCCTGGATAGACAATGCCCTCTCTGTCCCCCCGGAAGATAGTAAGCTTACTCCGCGCAGTCTTGTATTATTCGGGTATCCCATAGTCGCCCACAACAGCGGAACGCAAGCCCTGCCACTGGTCCACGACTCGACTAGAATTAAAGGCGTCCTCGGGCCCGGCCGATCTGTGCTTCTCGATCGGCTCCCACTCCACAACCACGCCACGCAAGATGCGCCATGCCACAGTTCGTTCCTTGGTGCCTCCCACGGTCGCTTGCATCTGGTTCTGCTCATGGTCGCCGGGCTCGTATCCTAGGCCTATTATCTGCGAGAAAAAAAGCTTTTCACAATTCCATCTCACAATATCCTGCTGTTGTTTCTTCTGCAGTCTCTCCCTACTGTCTCTTCTTTCACGTGGGTTGAAGAACAATGCCAAGTACCCCCGTGCGTCTTCCGCTGTGTTCGGTACTTCTAGCGCGCGCGGAGCGATTGGATTGACCCGAGGACAGAAGAGGATTTATAGCAGATAGATGGGTGGAAGAATGAGGCACGGCGCTCGATTTGGCTTCCGGTGCGTTCTAAGTTAACACTTAGTTCTATCAGGCATTTCCTGTCCGGGTCCTTGCAGCTATATCAGAATGATCCGGTTGGTTAAATTAGTGCGTCCTAGTGCCCTTGAAACGGACGCGTCATGAATGCGCTCATTGTCGAGCTCGGGCGGTTTCTTTATCGCCTTGCACATGTACGCGAAGCGTTCGCAAGGAACGAACCGATTCGTGGCAAGGGAAGAAGAGTTTGCTTTGTTCTCGATGAGAAAACGCGGACGGACACTGTAAGTTCTCTCTCAGACTCGGTGTTGGAATTCTGACCGATTTGCTCCCTAGATCGACGCGTCCTGGAATTCCCTGAACAAAAACAACGTTCTCGTATATATTGTGCAAGGCGGTTTCTGAGCCTATGTCATACATGCGTATACGCTTAATCAACATTCCTTCGTAAATTGATGTGAGCTCAACTGCTCGGCCTTTTTCTCATTGGCAAGATAAGAAAAGGCGGTGATCGTAGTTAAGCTCTCTATGCAATTCTAACAAGACGTCGCTGCACATCGAGGCTCGAAATTGGATGGAACAATTGAATGGTCTGCCATCTCGGTCATCTATTTTATTTCAGTTGCGATCACGCAGGTTAAAATGTGTCGCATCTAAAACTCTCGGGGATCATATCGGTCTCAAAGCCTGAGATACCGGCACTGCAGCATTACAGATGCGTTGAACATAGACAGATGCTGATTAAAAGAAGAAGGTTTCGACGCGCCGTTTCGCAGGATAAAGGAAGCAGATCCCAGTCGGCGAGCTGCGATTGGGATTCGGGATTCCCTCGACATTCCATTTGCGGGGACTCTGCAGCCAGGATTGGTTTATTTCTACCGATGTTCAGTTGGAGATTGGTTGGCAATCGCACCTTCGCATGCAAGTCCTATATGATCTAATAACCTCTTGGACTCTGCATTTAACCCAACTTAGAATCTTATCACCCCCGCCCACCGGTAGTGCGCGCATGTAGTAGTAGGATCCCGGTGAGAAGACGAATCTCTCCCGGCCCTGCAACTGCACACGGGCTTTCTGCTATTCCCGGAACCTCGGCGCGAGGTATCTTGAACCTAAGCGTTCTGATAGATAAGCCGGTGACTCGACGGAATTTTCCCAGCCACGAGGCAGGCTTCTCTGGACACTGATCCCTCCCACCGGCATCCCGACCCGAGGCCATGGCGTGCGCGGTTCTCGGGGCGGAGATTTGCAGGACACCGGATCGACGCTGTTGGGACCTCGATGATTTGATTGACTCGGACGACACCCATAATGGAGGGTGTTCCAGCTTCCAACTCGCGAAAAGGCTTTTTTCGTGACGGGGCTTGAATTATTTAAATCTGTGTTCAAATCGAAGAGGCAACCGAAGAAGGCGGTAGCTTCAGTGCCTGCCTAGCTTCGTGCTTGCTATCTTTGTCCGCAGTGTTATGTTATCTTGCCAGCGTGAATGCCGCGCGCGTCGCTCCCGAATAATCAGGATGGTTATGTTCATATTTGTTTTTAAACAAGGCTGCATACGGCAGAGTGCCTGGGCCCTGGCTGTTGTTTTTTGGCGTCGCGAATCACAGGTACGAAATTAAAATCGCGTTTTTCGGGACGTGGTGGCGGTGGCTGCCAGAAAAAAAGAACGGCGCTGTCATCGACGAAAGTAAGGGACAGCATGCCGGCCGCGCTCAGCGCTCAGTTTATGCCATTTCTGGGGGACTCTGATCCGAACCCACATCGGTCGAGATTAGTTTGCGACTGGCTGGTAAGCTAGTTGAGCAGGACCTAATATACACCAGCGTTATATCCGGAGGCGCGGCGTTCACGACATGGAAACGTTCGTGCGCGAACTAACGGTCTTGGCGCATGCGGTCCAGCTTCCTTCTGCCTTTGACAAACGAGGGTTCAACCTCGAGCGAACGTACGGCGGCGTTCGTGTCAAAATTGGAATTTTCTTCCGTCTTTTCTTTCTGGAGGGGGGAGAGCGCCGGTCTGCATTTACATCGGTCGAGACTACTTAAATTGAACTAGTAGGATACTCATACTGTATGGGACGTCGGCATACGTACGTCAGTGTTATATCCGGATGCAGAGTCGAGGGCGCCCATCATATATCACAATCACCGTAGCAAACGTGAACTCGGAGGAGGGTACAGGACCATCAGAGGCGGGCCCAAATTCAACTCGCTCGCAGTTCTGCGTCGGCACCGGGGTCCGGCGTGTGAGCCGGCGTGCTGAATAAATTTAGTGCGGCTCCGGGACGATAGGAATGTACACCTAGAGATATGCGCCTGCGCATGTACATGTCAGTGGCAGAAAAACCCCTTGGAAACGCGATCAAGCCGTATCTCAACACTGCAAAGAATTAAAGGTGGATCAGGGTTTCCTTTCATCTAGAACACTGGCACAGTGGCAGGTTATGCGACATGTTAAATTTGGGTTTGGGCTTCGTCCGAGTGGCCCGGACTAGGATTCCTGGGTTGAGTTGGGATTCGGAGGACCAAACAAGACAAGCTTAAGTTAGCTAATTAGCACGACTCAACTCGCCATCGCAACTAATTTGATTTGATTGCCCCGTATGTCCCAGTCGTTCGTTCGTTCAGAGCTGGCACCATCCACCCGAGTTCCTTGAGTCCGGGTTTATTGCAGCCCAGTCGTACGCGCCGCCAGGACAAAACCTAATTTATACTGATTGCATCGCAAGCAGGGTTTATTCAAGGCTTATCTGAACTTCAGCAGGGACAATCCTGACGCGTGAAATGTATGAAGCAAATTTACATGCCCGATATCGGTGTTATACAGACATAGCATGCGAGACTCTGAATAGAGTTACCAAGGGGCTTATCTCGCAGGGGCGGCATGATCAACCCCCGACGTTCAGCGTCCGGATGTTCGAAATGAATAGACGTAACCTAACTGATAGCTGATACTGAGTTGCCACGGTCAGCATCAATGGAAGACGATGATCATTCGACTATGCTTTGGCTTGGTAGAAGTAAGTGAGCAAGTCATTTTCTGTCACTGCTATACATACCTAGACCGCCGGGCGTTATGTTCAGGAAACTAACTTCTTTTCTCGCAGGGGTGCGTCGGCGTCGGTGCCAGCCGGGTGAAATGAATGTAACTGATAACTGATCAAGTTTCCATGCCCAGCAATGAGTGTCAAACGGCGTA